AGCCACATCAATGTTTATAGCAGCACAATTCACACACAATAACTAAATTGTGGAACTAGCCTAGATACCTTTTAGTAGATGCATGTATAAAGAAAGTGTAGTATATATACACAATGGAATACTACTTAGCATTAAAAGAAAATAAATTCATGGCATTTGCAGGTAAATGGATGGACGTGGAGAATATTATGCCAAGTGAAGTAAGCCAATCTCAAAAACCAAAGGCCAAATGTTCTCTCTTATATGAAGATGCTGATCCATAATGGAGATGGGGCAGGGGAGCCTGGGCGGAATGGAAGAAATTTAGATAGGGCAAAGGGGAGGGAAGGTAAGAGAAGGGAAATGGGGAAAGACTGTGGAATGAGAAGGGCATCATTACCCTAGTACATGTATGAAGACAAGAATGGTGTGACTCTACTTTCTTGTACAACCAGAGACATGAAAAAATGTGTTCTATATGTGTACTATAAATTGAAATGCATTTTGCTGTCATGTATAACAAATTAGAATAAATAAATAAATATTTTTAAAAAGTTATTTTGGATAATATTTATCTCAGATACAATGTTTTTGAGCATAGTTGATATTATAAATTTCAAGTTAATAAAAGTAGTAATGTATTATTTGAAATTGACCACAACCTTTTAGTTTAGTAAAGCTGTAAAGAAAACTACTATGTAACTTATTTGACTCTCCAGCCCTTACATGTAAATGCACAGTAGTAGCAAGGAGAACCACTAGAGTTTTTAGTGCTTTGCATTTAGTGGTTAGCATTGCTTTGTGACCTTGTTATTAGAGGGAAAAAAATCATTCTTTATGTATTACCAAAATATTATGTTTTCAAACATTGAAATACATGTGGAAACATTTTGATCTTAACAAGTGGTGTAAATGCTGTTCTTGGACTTTGGGTCCCATTTTATGCCACAGACCAAGTACAGATTGACATTTTGAAGCTGGTTTTGGTTAACTCCTTAATGTTAGAAATTGGAACTTTCTGATGTAATAACTTCTGCAAAGTACCACTGTGCTTTATTAGTATGTTATGTGTTGACAGAAGAACAAATGGGAAACACATACATATCTCTAGACCTATCCTTGGAAATGACTTGGGTGGCCTAAAACCTATCAAGTAGACCATGCATATTTTATTTTGATATAAAATACTAAAGTTTAAGATATTCTTATTAGTAGATTCAGATAATGAGTTATTTTGAAATAACCATATTTCCATTACTTAATAAGCACGCTGGTAATCAGACAATTTACTCAAGCATGTATCAATGTCAGTGTGGCCGTTTGGCAGCATAGTCTCAGAAATTCCAATTAGCCATGTAAATATATTTCATAGCATCACATCTCACTTTGTCAGACCCCTGCTGCCTTTATATCATTAACATAAATGCAGGTGCAAATAGCATTTATGTACTTTGATAGAAAGCAGTTGGAGACATTTCACTGTGGGACACAACACTTTCAGATTGTGTACATCTGTTCAAATAATGTATCCAGCCCCAGTGACATGAACACAAGGATAGAAACATCTGCCCCTGAGACCATTTGCCATATAGCAGATGCTTGCATCTTTATTTATGCAGATGGTTGGTATGATGAGTTGTGCAGGGATAAAAGCCAAGTAGTTTGACAGGGTATTTAGGATGTTCAGCAGGCCAAAAATATAAGGTAGGGATTTTGTCCTAAAAATGTAATATTGGTAGGAGTAGAAATTCATAAATCACTAGTAATGCTTTTAATAGTCAACATAATGTTCTTGTCTCTTAATTAATTGGCATCAAGATCCTAAAAATGTTTACAGAAATTCCAGTATCCAGACTATACTAGAATGAGCACCTTATGGTAATTTGGTTTTGATTAAAAAAAAAAAACAATGATTTTGAATGCATTTTGCTTTTTTAAAAAGCAGTCTTTTTTATTAAAAAAATATTTATTGTATATTACCAAGAGAATCTGGTGATATTTCTTCAAATTGGGAAAAGTATCTATGTCATCGGTTTGAACATGATTTATGACATAGTCTATGAATATCAATTCAAATTAAGTAAGATAAGTTTCTGAAGTATTATATATTTGGAAGATTTTTGTCAAGAATTTTATTATTTAACCTGTATTCTAATGTTGTCAACTAGTAATATTTTAATAATAAATATTTTATCAGGATAAATTACATTTTAACACTTTATTACCAAAACTCTCTTATTGAGCTGCCATATTATATTCTCAAGGAAACAAATGTGAAAGGAATAAAAACTTACAAAACAAGCAAAATATCTCCAGACTTGATAATCCCTCCCCCACACACACACAATCATAGACTCTCAAAAGAGATTAAATATCAGATTTTACCTAATTCAGTAGCTCAAGCATCTTAGTTTCAGAACAACTTTGCATTCTTAAAAATTATTGAGAACTCTAAAGACGATCTATATAGGTTTTATCTATTTATATTTACCATAATAGTGATTATAAGCAGAAACTGCATATGTATGAATTCATTTTAATATAACAATGAGCTCATTAAATCTTATCATAAATAACCTAGTTTAACAAAATTAAGTATTTTCTGAAACAAAAAATTTAGAAGACAGACATTAACTTAATGTTTTTTGCAAATATTTTTGAAGTCTGGGTTATTGAAGATGGTTTTTGAGTCCCATATTTGGTTTTGCTGTGATGTTGTTTGTGTTGAAATATTAAAGGAAAAATCCAACTTTCCTTTTCAGATCATTGGAGATAGATATAGATATATAAATATAGATATACACACACACACACACACACACACACACACACACACATACACCAAAACTTCTCAGATTGTTCTTCTTAAAGTTTAGTTATAATGTGAAATTTTAAATCATGTCGGTGTAGTTTTTATATTCTGTTTTGTTTGTTTTTCCTGCAGGACTGAGTCTTTTTAATGTCTCAGTACCATATTTTGGTCATTTAGAAAACATTAGTTCCCTGGCTAGGGTGTAGCTCAGTGGTAGAGTGCTTGCCTAGCATGCACAAGGCTCTGGGTTTGATCCCACATATCAAAAGAGAAAAGAGAGAGATAGAGATAAAAAACTAGTTCACTGACTTGAAGATCTTCCATATACTTTATTAGAAACTATTTTTAGAATATTCACTAATGTAACCACCAGTCTCATCTGGAAAGATCTTAAGTATGCTCCCCAACTTTACTTTTTTTTTTTAACTTTACCCTAGTAAGAAAGGATAAAGCAGTACACACATGTATTGTGAAAGCAATACACATTCAGTAGAAACCAAATTTAAATTTTGAATTTTGATCTTTTCCTGGGCTAGCAATATGTGGTATGACACTCTCATAAGAAACTCTCCTGACATTTTCTCATGAAACAAGCCACAGTTTCCAATCAGCCAGGAGATCACAAGTATAAGTATCTAGTAGTCCACAGTATACTGTCTCTGTTCTCTAACTTACATGTACTATGTAATTTGTCTTGTTTCTAAGAAACTGTTCCCCAGCCTTAGGTGTATAAAATGCATTTTCCACTTGTAATCTCTTCATCTTAACAATGGGTTTATTAGTATTTGACCTCCTCATAAGTGGAAAAGCACCTATATTAGGAAGCTTCAAGTTCTGGTGGTAAATCCTAGTTTCCCACTTGCCTGTCAAAAGATGATTTTCATCATTGACAACAAATATTTCCAGTTTTTTCTTGTAATGAAAGCTCCATTTGTTTATTTTTGAGAACATGTCTGCCAGGTACCCAAATCTGACTGTGTTCTTTAAATATATTTCAACACACATCTCAGATGTTCTTTCAGATAGGAATGCTTTTCCATGGGGAAAAAGTAGCTAGTTTAGTTTCACAGATAAATAGAATGCTTTTCCTTAAGGCAGCCATCATGCTTCTTTGTGAACCATTTCATCACACAAAATAGTGAAAAGGCATGTGCTCAAGGATCAAGATTTAATGTAACTTAAAGTTCATACTGTTTGTTTATTGTTCTACTATGAGTGTGACTGTGGAGAATATGACTTTAGTTTGCTGTCAGTGCCTCAATTCAGACTGAGGTGGTAGAGCAATTTTACCCAGTATTTCTTTTGCCCTATCAGTGCAGCACATGTAGACATCAACACAGCAGAAAAGGCAAATGGTATCTCAGTATTAGTATAAAAATAAAGTGTTGAGACCTTCTCCAAATTCTGTACATCATTTTTAAAGAAACACCTTGCTAGTATAATCCTCTCTTGCAAAGAAGAGAACCAAGGCCAATAAAAAATAAGCATTATTATCTCAGATTTATTCTAGCAGTAAGTACAAGAATCAAAGCAGGTCTCTGTTCTCTAACTTACATGTACTATGTAATTTGTCTTCTTGTTTCTAAGAAACTCTTTCCCAGCCCCAGAAGGAACATTCCCCTGATGAAGCCACACATCACAGCACTGGTGTTTTATCATGTTTACTTAAAAGAGCAGGACTTGCCACATGAGGAATTTAGAAATTCTTTTTAACATTTTTAGACCTTTTCGTTCAGTCCTAATGTTCTTGGGTGACCTTGGTTTTCCTAGCAGGTGATACAGGATTAGGAAATATCTAAGATATTTGTTTTATTTTTTAATTATAAAAGACCTTAGTAATAGGTTTTTATTCATTTATTTTTGCTCATTAATGAAAGTGCTCTGTCAGTGCTTAAAAGTTTCATGAATTTCTTATGTAATTTTTGCTTTAGAGAACTTGCATACTGGTGAGGCTGGAGTTGTGGCTCAGCGGTAGAGCACTCGCCTAGCATGAGTGAGGCGCTGGGTTTGATCCTCAGCACCACATATAAATAAATAAATAAATAAAGGTATTATGTCCAATTACAACTAAATAAATATTTTTTTTAAAAAAAAAAAGAACTTGCATACTAGTATAAACCTAATCTGTAAAAGGAATCCACCTGTATAAGAAGCCTGGCTTTTAAGTGTTAAAGCATTGAAAATTGCTCTATATAAATTTCATTAACTACCTGCCCAGCACCCATGCTATAGAGTCCTGTTAAAACAAGGAAGCTTTCTCTCCTGCTCCAGTAGTTACACTGCTTATCAGAAAAAAGTTTGGTCAAAAAGATTTTTATTTTCTCCACATTGAGATGGATTATGTGACACTCACCAGCCTTTGGAGGAGACTAATACATAAATGGACAAATTGCAAAACGCCTTAGTGTGTTTGGAGTGAAGGAAGAAGAGCTGTAGTGCCAGACAGGTCTGGGTTCAAATCCATCACTCCTCAGCTTTGTGATCCTCCAAGAAATTTAACTGTAGCTAGAACAAAAGATAAAGCCCAATGACCTTTTACTGTTTTTTTTTAAATATATTTTTGTGTTTAGCAAAAGCATAGGAGAAAGCAAGGCAATATAATTGAGAATTAATAATTTCTTCATTCAGTAAGTATATACTGTATTGTGCAACTGCCAGATATTGATTGAGCGACAGTTCCTGCAATGAATGAAACAGCACCTGCTTATGTTACACTTATATTCTAATGGGAGGAGACTAGACTATAATATAATATCATGATATTATTATACCACAAAGGACAAGACAATTAAAATTAAAGAAAACTGAAAATGATCCCATGGGACTGAGCAGCTACTTGTAGACAGATTGGTCATGAAGGGTCTCCCTGAGTGCTAGAGAGCTCAGGTGCATATTTTTAAAATTCTAATGTTTCCGGGCTTGAGGCAGAGAAGCTGTATATGTAGAATGATAGTATTTTACCTTCCTTTCTCCCATCCTGGAAAAGTTATTATTTGTGTGGTTTTAATCAAAGATAGAAGGTAAGTTTAGAAGTGGGAAAAAGGGTCAAGGAATGCTTCCCTCCTACTGGCCTCTCTTTTTTCATTGAAATTCAGTGTTTAAAACCTGTAGCTAAAGAGACAAAAGCCCTGCTTGTGAGGGAGTGGAATTGAAAGTGCCTTGGAAAAATTTGGGCAAACCCCGGTTAGGAACCAAAGGGAGTCTGTTAGGGACAAGTAAATGGATTGTGGAACAGGATTGTGGAACTGATTTTGAGACTAGAAAGCTTGTAATGCTGTCTAGTGTCATGGTGGTTGAATTCTGCAGCACTAATTAACAAGCAATGGGAGTAGAGTATACAAGGTGGGAGCCAGTTGGGGAAGGTGCCATAGGAAGACAGCAGTGGGGTGAACCTATGATCTTTTGGGAGTGTCCATGATGATCAGCCATGAAGCCTGTACTGGAAAACTAGAATATTACCTAAGCTTACACATAAGCATGGCCTAGGACAAGAGAACACAGGCAGGTAGATAATCATTCCATCTCTTAGTGAAAATGAATAATTAACTCATACATACTCCTAACTAGCAGATTAGATTAAATGTTCCCTTCAACCAGATTTTATAGTTACAACCAAAGGAGAATAAAGAGATTGGTGGAGGAGAAACCAAGCAGAACTCAAAGAAAAGAAATCCAAAGTAGTCACCAAAGATTTCAAACTTTGATGACTCTTGCTTTGATGCTGGCTTGGGTCAGAATCTGATTATATGAGGTCTACCTCATATTCAGCTGATCTGATTAGCTCCACCCAGGTAACTACTATACCTCTGGTTATCTGAGTGTCAATCAGTACCTAGTACCTCATTTTCTTTTTCTTTATTTTCTTCAAAATATTAGTATTGTGGGTGGTCTTTCTTTGTTAAAGAAAGTTATGCCTTGAGTAAAGAAGAAACAGTCAAGACTTACCAGCAGCAATGTTTAAAAAATGATTATCAATGAAACCATAACAAGGGAATACTTTACCTCCAAAAGATCCATGGCTGTCCAACCTCTTGCATTGGTACTTCAAAATCATGAGCTGAATGAAGTATAGAAAAACTTATAGCAAAAATGTCGTAAATCAGTGTGAGTTGAAAATAAATCAAATGTGAAGACAAAGCATCTATAAGACTACAAAACAGTGGGACATTTTTTTTGTTGTTGTTCTGGTAATAAAACTCAAGGTCTGGTGCATGCTGGGCAAACCCTCTACCACTGAGCTACCACCTCACCCCTTGTCTTTTAAGTGCAGTTTACATATGCCTCAAAAGTGCCCAATCTATATAAAGTAAACCTACTTTTGAAATTAGAGTATAAAAAGTAATAATTGTTGTGATTCGTTTTAGTATTACTGAAACATTGTGCTCTTAACTGCTTTAGTTTCATAATCATGGTGTTTAGACCAAAAGCAAGAAAGTTTCAACCTTCTGCATGTGTCCTAGTTTAATTCTTCCAGCTGACTACATATTCTGATGTTCAAACCTTGTCTGTTTATCCCACTAAAGAAAAGTTTTTCTTCATCAACTGCCATCTCTCTAGTCATACCCAGTATATAACTATTGCAAATGCTATATAAGACTAAAAAAAAAGAAAAAGCCCTTTGATCTCACTCCAGTGAGAATGGCAATTATCAAGAATACAAGTAACAATAAATATTGGTGAGCATATGGGGGGAAAGGTACACTCATATATTGCTGGTGGCACTGCAAATTGGTGCAACCACTCTTGAAAGCAGAATGGAGAGTCCTCAGAAAATTTGGAATGGAACCATTTGACACAGTTATCCCAATCATCAGTATATACCAAAAGGACTTAAAATTGTTATACTATAGTGAGAGCCACATCAATGTTTATAGTAGTTCAATTCATAATAGCTAAGCTATGGAACCAACCTAGGTGCCTTTCAGCAGATGAATGGATAAAGAAAATATGCTACATATATGCAATAGAATATTAGCCATAAAGAAGAGTGAAATTATGGCATTTGCCAGTAAATGGATGGATGGAACTGGAGACTATCATGTTAAGTAAAATAAGCCAATCCCCCCCCCAAAAAAACAGGCCAAGTATTCTCTCTGATTCATGGGCACTAACACAATAAGCAGGGAGAATAGAAGTTAATCAGATTAGACAAAGGGGAATGAAGGGAAGGGAGGAGGGATGGGAATAGTAGAGACAGTAGAATGAATCAGACATAACTTTCCTATATGTTCATATATGAATATATGACTAGTGTAATATGTAATATCCACAACATGTACAACCACAAAAATGAGAAGTTATACTCCATGTATGTATAATGTGTCAAAATACATTCTACTGCCCTGTATAACTAAAAAGAACAAAGTTTTTTTTTTAAATCATCTTAAGGAAAATTTTACAAAGAGCAAGTTTTACTGGTTGTTGAAGATTGCTTGCAATGAGAAATTTGTTCTATTTACCAAAGTTTTTTTTTATATATAGGAGATGATTCCATGTCCACCAGTCCTGTTGAGAAACACCTAACTCCACAAATGCTGGACTCTCCTAGAAAGACAGTCTGCACAGGTATTTTTTGTGGGTGGTAGAATGTCAGATTAAATGATCTGCTGCTTTGACCATGTGAAATGTTTTTATCAAGGTTTAAATTTCAACTGGAACCCAAGTGAATATTAGCCATTTTAGTAATATTAACAACAAAAAGAATAATAAGAAAATGGGGTTAAAGCATTTCAGAAGTTTCCATCTGTTTTGCTGAGTGTCCTTGAAAAGTCATTAACTCTTCACAAATTTTTATGCTATTCATTCATCCCTAGATTTGGGTAATGATACTAACTTGACTGCTGTATAATAATGAATAAAAATTTGTGCATGCTACAAATTATTTTTCCAAAAAGATAAACAACTTCTTTCTACATGTATTAAAAACAAGTATCACTTCCAGTTTTCAGCTGTTTTTCATCAGAAGTTCTTGAAATCAAAATAAGTCCTCCCAGACATAGGAACTAATAAAAAGGGCTCAATTAAGATGAAGAAGACACTTGTTGAAATTGAGAAATATTAACATGTATTTTAAATGATAAAGCTTTTTAAATTTACTTTTCATTTGGTACATTAATTATGTGTCCTCAAAAAGATGGTTACTTGAATTTAACAAACCACTTGTGTAATTTTCTTTTATTGTCACTATTATTTGAAGTAATTGGCTTTTTAATTCTCTCATAAAGAATACTTGTTTCCTTTTATTTTCTGATATATTTATGTATCTGATTTATTCAGTTAATGAACTGTACTTCCCCTTTGGTGCCCAACTCTTCTTTCTAAATTCAAGCTATCTTTACATTTGTTAATGCTTTACTCAGCAAAATACTAAATCTATAACTATGTGCCTTCAAAACTTTGGTTGCCCTGTTCCTACCCACTTTGAGAGCCCACATCTTTTCACTCCTGAATTGAGAAATCATGGTGGTTATTCTCACTGTCTTCCAGAGAAGTGGCCAGTATCCCAAACCCCACTCCAGGTGGTGCCGCTCACAGGGCCACTGAGATCTGGCCTGACTCACTCTTGCTAAACTGAATGCCTGTTAGTACTTTCTTTCCTGCTAGGTTTAAGAACAACAATTGGAATAGGAAAGACAGTAGAATGAATCTAACAATTTTCCTATGCACATATATGAAAGTACCTAAGTGAATCCCACCATCATGTACACCCACAACAATGAGATCCTAATTAGAATAAGATATATTCCATGCTTGTTAATTATATCATAATGGATTCTATGGTCATATATAACTAAAAAGAACCAATAAAAATTTTTAAAAAGAGCAACAATTGGCTTCACTATTCTGTATAAACAAAAGCATGGAGTGTCCCCACAAAATATCTCTTTGAAATGCACATGTTAACTCCTGTTCACACTGAATTGTTAATCCAATTAACACTTTGTCAACTGACATATGGGGTGGGGGAGGAGAGGGAGTAAGTGATACTGACAGGATGAATCATGTTAGGGATGGCTGAGCTGCCCAAGTGGGTGTCATCAGAGAAACTGCAAAGAAAAAAATATAGTTTTATGGGGATCCTCATTAGTGAATAATAGCTATTTTGTCTCACTTTCCTTCATTTACCTCTCAAAAAGGAAACATTAGTTTAAAGATTCAGAACTATTTCCATATGATGAGCCCTCAAGTTCTGTGCTTATTTTCCCACATTAAATAAGCATCAGAAACTTAATCCTTCCTGGCAAGAGAAAATGGGACACTATCTGCTAAATGTCTGTCTAACTTGATAGGAAACACCCTGGCACCTTCATGGATATTTTTCTCATTTAATCCCAGTAGCTAGTGTACTGTTATGCCCATTTCATAGATGACAATATTTAGGCACAACAGAGTGACTGGCCAAAGCCACAAGTACATGACAAAGCCAGGCATCGAAACCAAACTGTTTGAACCCCAAAATTCAGAGAGTATAATGGTGGCCATAACTGTGCACAGTAGTTTACAATCTATACAAGGAAGAGCCAGGAAAGCCTGTGCAGACAAGAGGGCCAGGATTTGGATTCCAGCACTGGTCTTCACCAGCTTAGAAATCTTTACTAGAAAATGGCTCAACAGGAATTCCTCACTCAGGTTATCATGGAGATCAAATGAGATAATGCATGTGTTTTTTTTTATAATACCTGACACAAAATATAACTTATCATTAGAATAATGTTTAAGCAACAGTCATCATGAAAGAAACTCAGCTCTCAGAAAATAAGAATTCCCTTTCTTGCTAAGGAGGTGAGGAGTTCATTGTTTGACAAACTCTCACAGGGTTGTGCTGAGTGGAAGGTGCCTGCTAGGTACTGGCATTAGGAGAAGAAGGGAGGGAGTTAGCCAAGAGCATAGGTCAGCAAAGCAGGACAGATGTGCCAAAGGGAATGGACAATTAGACACAGGACACAAATGTCCAGTTGGAAATGTGCTTATCTCAATTGGGTCTGAGATAATGATGACTTCAGGCCTTCGTGCTGGAGATACAAGAAATGATATTTGGCAACTTGAGTACTTTGAAACAAAAGCACACTTGTGCCTATTGCCAGCACATTTTACAGTGCACACTCCACAGTCAACACTCAGTAAATTCTTACTGACTCTTCCTATTGCCGCAGATCCTGGACAGCACTAAAAGATTGAGTAGGCAATGGCTAAATGTGTTTATAGTTTTTTGACAAAATTAAATTGAGCTCCCTTGTGTTATGAGACATTATTTTTATCCCAAACTTCTCCAGGATTTTACCACACTTATTTTAACCACAGACCATCTTGGGAAACAGTTTGAACCCCAACTGAAATTTATTATTTGAATTCCAAATGGGAGAGAAAACAGGGATGCCAACAAATAAAATTGTAAATAGGATTTTTAGTTAATAAAATTAAAACCTAAACAACACCTAAAAATGTTGGCTCCTTAGAGGTTGATTTGGCAGCACTTTTGTTCTGAGCCTGGATCCAGGGGGCCTGTTTCAAGAGCAAGGACACTCCCCTGCTTGTTCCATCCTAACATGCTTAGCAGTAGGCCCGTGGGCCCCAACAGATGGAATAATGGAACTCTGCCCAAACCCAGAGATGAGCGGGAACAACTTTGTTTAGAAGCAACAAAGCGGGCCTCAGTTCTGCCAGTGGAAATCAGGAAGTGAGTTGTTTGTAGCTATCTAGAGAATTGCCCCATGTACTTGTCTCTTAATTATGCCAGCTGCGTTTGGAAAGAATATGATAAAGCTGAGTTAGACATTGGCACCTAGTGCTACTCAGCTCTCATTCTTCCTCCCAATGCTTCTAACATGCAAACAATATCCATCAGATCCAATCCTCTGGTGATGGAGGAGGTGGAGAACACATTTTGCACATTCTCCAAACAAATGTCTGGTAGTCTTTCTGCATTTGTTAGAATCCTATGGACAGTATGTGGCAAATGTGACTCTAAAAATTGGCTTGTACTTTCAGATGACTTAATTTTCCATTAATTTTCTCTTTCAAGTGGGCTTTCCAGAAGTATCAATTTAATGGTAATAGGAATTTTTGAATAAAGCCAGTTCTATTTCAAATGTTTTTTTCTCCTTAAAATTCAGAAATGGTATTATATTTTGGAATTAATTAGGATTCCTTTGTATTTAATTTTCCGCCTCTGAGGAAAGAATGAAGGAAAATCACTGCTTCAAATTGGAATGGAACAGATAGGGGTCTGTGGACCTTACTTGTTTCTTAACTTCCTCAAGCTTTATTTTTCATAATATTTAAAAAGAGGGAACTATAGTACTTTCTTGTGGAATTAAAAGACCTAGCCTAGGTTCTAGACCATTGTAAGAACTCGGCATCTCCCAGTTCCCTTTTATTCCACAGTTAGATCAATTTCTCCCCAACTGTAAATGTCATTTTTCAAAATAGTTACTTTAATATGCTTAGCAGATTAAAAATAACCCACATTTAAAATCCTAATATTAAGTATTCTCATTGAATAATTGTACAAAATTAATTTTACTGAGTAAGCCTTTTATGTTTTCAGTTAATAAAAGCCCATGTTTAGTACCTGAGAGTCCTGTGAGTCTCTTTAACTCTGTTATGAGTAATTTCGTAGGATTTTCAGAAATTATGAATGTCAGTGGAAATTTCTACTGCTCATTATTTAGTACAGAGTTCTCTAAGATCTGTAATTTAGTAGGTGCAGGTGAGGGTTTTTAGATCACACCATCTGTGAAAGGCCTTGTAAATGTGTGGTGGAAAAAACCACTGTTGTAGCTACATTGCCAAGAAAGACTTCCTACAATCGTACTTTCTTAATATTTTAGAGTTTTAAAATTTAATGGCATTTTCATCTTCTCTAAGGACTCCTATTGTTCAAACTACTTTAAAAAAAAACTGAAGTCAATCTAGCATAACTGACCTTTATTGCAAATTGCCTTCTTTCATCCTAAAGAAGAAATTGTTTGGAGAGCAATTCTCAGGACTCCACTTGTCCTTGGGAGGTAATGAGCTCTCATACTTCTCAATGCTTAACCTCAGGAGGTAGTATGTGCTGCCTGTCAGATTACTAGATTACTTCCTTGGTCATTAGCAGTTCTTGCATTAAGTAGTCAAGGAAAATAAAAGACATGAATCATTCCCGTGTGCATATCTAGATATAGTCATTTAGGCGTAGCACACACTCATCACGAATATCCCAAAAGACAGTGCTTTTAGAAACTACTTCAAATAAGTAAACTTTCATTTTCCTTTCATTCATTCAACAAATATTTATAAGCATCTCCTATGTGCAGGCAGTGGGTGTTAAGTGAAAATAAATGCCTGTCCTAGTTCAAACATTCCCCCTGTTGCCCCACCCCACAAAAGTCCGCCACTAACTCTAGTCTCTTCTGTTTCCTTTCAGAACTGTTCTGTACATATACAGGAATATGTTTATGTGTGTATCCCCCAGCTTTTTCATCTAGACAGTAGAATACTATGAATCTCACATCTTGGAGAGTATTCCACATCAATCTAATTCATTCTTTTTTTACTGCTGCAAAGTGTTACATAATATAGTTGTATGATTATTTTATTAGCACTCTGTTGATGGACATGTAAGTAATTCCTGGGGCTTGGGGTATTTTTCATACATTTTTTTGTGGTTTTTCCTCTTTCATTATTGGAGTCCTAAGCCAGAGGCCTGACTCAATAGGTGCCAACAAACCAGGTTCAACTGCACAGCAAAGGCAGCCTAAGTCCCTGTTATACTTCTGCCTTGCGTTTCTTCTAATGCACCAGTTTCATTCCCTTTCTCTAATGATTCTGGGAAATGGGACTTCTAGGAGACCTTCATCTTTTTGTGTACTTCCTGATAGATCCAGGCAGGCAAAAGTAAGTGAAATTTACCCTATAAAGCCTTATCTTCACAGTCTTCACAGATTGTGATTAGCTTGTGATGATTGAAAATGAGCCGGCTGACAAGCTTTTCTACCCCAGCCACCATGCCTTTAAATTCAGGGCGCTTGGGAACTGACTCACTTGGCAGGTGCTAGACCTGTCATCCAGGCTCTGTCAGTTCGGGCTGCCCACACTGCTCACACTGATCTGCATTCTCCCTTGCTGGAGCCAACCTGGTTACCCTCAGGAGTGTCCTTTGTTCCCAACCACAGACAGCCACATAATGTAGAGACCTTTGAATATCTGACGTAGCACATTAACTTTAAATATATCATAATCAGCTTATTCCATTTTGGTATGGCTTTATAAAGTACATCCAGTTTCATTTCTGAAACCCTTAACTCTTAGAAGGTTGCTTTCTTTTACTTGGTTATTTAAAGAAAAAAAATAGGAAGTTCCTTACCAACTGAAGCCTTTAGAGATCTTGAAGTGACCTTTGACACTGGTTGACACTGGTTGTTGCTTCAGCTGCATCTTCTGTTCTATGTGGCTTCTGCTCTTCTTCATGTTGCATTACCATGCTCTGCCTCTGAAGTTCAGCTTTTCCATGTTCCTCTCATCACTCTAATCTCCCTACTCCTCTCTCAGTGTATATCTGTTTTCTTAGAGCAATTTTTTTCTTCAAAGACCACTTGTTACTGTGACTACATCAGTTTACACACCAATAGCATAATTTACTTTTATTATTATTTTATTATTTCCTCTGATAGACAACTGGCCTTACCATCTCCTTTGTTTTAAAGAATTTGATTATTATACTGAACCACTTCCTTATTCTGGCAGTTAATGGAGTTAAATTGGGGGGGAAAAAGAAGTAGTAGTTCCAGAGATATATCCTCTCTTCCTTTTGTTAATTTTCAAAATTATGAAATGTTAAAGGTTATTTTTAAATTGTTTCATTCTTTTTCCATTTTAAAAGAAAATTGCTTGGACATAATCTATCAATTCTTGATTTTTCTCTTTGATCACTTTATCATCACTTAACAAATTCAACAAACATTTATTAATTCCTACCACTTGCTGGAACACTGTACCAGGTCCTTGAAGACACAGGCAAACCCCTTGCCCTCAAGGAATTCATTTATTGAGGAAAGGCAGACCATACACTTAGTACAATAGATAAGTAAATGTTCCAGAGAAAATTAAAGCCAGAAAAAGGAATGGGTTGTTGCATTGGTCTGTTTTTTATTACTATAATGAAATACCTGAAGAAGGCTACTTATGAAGAAAAGGAGCTCCAAATTTGGAGGTTAGAAGTCCAAGCAGGACAGGGTAGATGGGGTCAGGCTCAGGCTTTTGTTAATATCCCTCTCATAAGAACTAACCAGATTCCCAGGAGAATGTCCTCAGTCCCTTCAGAGGGCATGACCTTCCCACCCTGACCAAGGACCTCCCCCTAGGCCCCACCTCTTAAAAGTTCCACAGCCTTCCAATATAGCACCCTGGGAACCAAAGCTTCCAACACATCAATCCCTGGGACACAAACCACATCCTAACTGTGGCAGAAATTCAGAATGGTAATACAGTATTAAATAAAGTGATCAGAGAAGAGTTCATAGGGAAGAGGTCATTTGAGCAAAACCTTGAAGGAAATGATGCAGCAGGTACTAGGGATTTAATGTTCTGGGCAGTGGGAACTTCAAGTGCAAAGCACTGAGGAGGTGCCTGTCTGGCACATTTAAGGAACAGCAAAGAGGCCATGATGGCTGGAGGGAAGCAAGTAAAAAAAATGGCAGAGTCACCCCTGAGACCCAAATAGCCTGAGGCTTTTAAGGCCTTTGCAAGGACTTTGGCTTTCACTCTGAGATGAAGAGCCATTGGACAGTCATCTGTGAGCAGGCAAGTGAGTTGTTATGTCTTTTGCTATGATGTATTATTGTTATGTTTTGAGAGGATTTATGACTGAATAAAGACAAAATAGCCTTTATTCTAGCTCTTTTTGCTGTAAATATTTTCTGCTTAATCATTTAGGAGTAGGAATTGACATAAATGACCCAGTGTATTCTCTTCTGTATTTTTCCTACCCCATATTTGTTGTATAGATGCAAAGACCATTATTAATTGTTAATATAATTATTTAATAAGCCTAATCTCAGGTCACCAAAAGCTATCAATAATTGTAGGCTTTCTGCAAATTCTGTGCCTCTTGATTTAATATATTTATTTACAACTCCAGTACTTTTCTCAAAAAGATGAGAATATGAGGCTTAAAATGAAAATAGAATTTTAAAATTAAAATTATGAATAAGGAAGGAAATATAGTAATGCACAGAGGTGGGTGATATGAAATAATTGGCTAATCAGTTCATCCTGAACTTCATGGTGACAAAACTAAGAAAGAAAACAACAGACAGTATGATTATCCTTGCCCAACTTTTCCAGACAGCACAAGTCCTTTTACTTCTTACTCTAATGTGCAATGTTTCATAGCATCCTTTTCCTATTTCACCACTGATTGCTTTTAATAAATTGGCCACTCTGCTTCCCAGCTGATTCCTACTACGCTACTTATGTATTTGAAGCATGTCAGTCTTACTAAAACAGTCAACTTTCTGATTGAATCATTAGTACACTAACTAGGTATTTAAACTGAAGTTGATTTTTAAATTTTTAATTATGTTTTATGAGATGGTCAGCTACCTACCTGTGTTCACATCCCTGGCATCCTGGAAGCAGATTGTTCTCTGATCCTTTATGCACAATTCCAAAATCTAAAAAGTTCTGAAAACAGAAAAATTTATCAAAAAATTGATAAAAACTCATTCATAGGCAAAAACCTGAACTGAAATAAGACAATTTAAAGATCTTCATGTGTCCACTTGTGGATACTCACATATTTTGCTATGAGAAGTGGCAATAGGTTTACTTATGGGCACCTCTGAATGTTATGTAACATTTGATATATGCTTCTTATTACTTTTCTAAAATTTGAAAGTGTAAATTGCAAAACACATGTGGCTCCATGAGTTTCAAAAGGGTTTTTAGACTTGCAATGGTCCCAGTTTCTAGACTGGTGTAGGTGCCTAGTAAATGTGAGTTGAAGTGAAGTTTGATTAATATAAAGTACTTAGAAACGAGAAACTTTTCCGCAGCCAGCCTTGTGACCTTGCAGCCTCAGGGAATAAAATAGATGATTCAGTTCTTAGAAGCAGGGCCCCTTAATTGTTCTCCTAAGGTTGTAGAAATTGGTCTTTGGTCAGGCTAATAAATCGAGGGAGAACGAAATGTTATTCTTTCAGTTAAAATTGTTCCTATTAGTATCCTAGACGGTGCTTTTTGGGTGATTCATGTGTTTTTTTTAATTTCATCTCTATGTCCTTACTTATCACTTTGTATCTTATTGTTTTTGTTCAACATTTTTTAAAGGTGTCACATCAGCTTTTTTAATACTGGTGATTTAATTGCAAAAGTGCACATAAACAGTTTGAAAGGTGTGAGAAGAAATTCACAAGTCACATGGGGAGACAACAACAAAGCTAGCATTCAGTCTGGAATTCATCCACAGTGCAAAACAAATTACACTGCCAGTGGGTCAAATGGTGTATCCTGAAATTGAATGAAAAATGAGTTTGATATAAGAAACATTTATTTCATACTGCAGAGACAGTGGGTAAATCAAGATTTACGCTTTACTCTCATAAAGCTTAAGGATAATAGGGAAAGCAGGGCATGTATATAAAGTAAATAAAATATACAACAGAATATACCAGAGGAAACTTTGCAGCTCAGGATATCAGAAAAAGAGGTGGGGTTGCCCTGGCTTGTGAAGAATCATTAGTATACTAACTAGGTATTTAAACTGAAGTTGATTTTTAAATTTTTAATTCTGTTTTATGAGATGGTCAGATTGGGCAAATGAAGAGGATAGACTTTCAGAATAGAAGGAGGAGGACAGCATCCCACCTCTCTAGAAGCTCTATATTTAGTGGTGGAGACACATAAACACAGAAATCATTATGGGAAACAGTCTGTATTATAGTAGGGGCTGTGGAACCATAGAAGAGAATAATAATCCTTGGTGAAGCTGGCCAGGAATTCACCTTCAGGTTGGGTCTTGAAGGGCATGGGCATTTGATCAGAAGGGTAAGAGGTACATCAAGGAATCTGTTCTAAGTAGAATAAGATGATTATGTGAACTCTCAATAACAGGACAGTTACACTACAATAACTTTTCATGTTGTATTATCATTTCAGGCGAATCAAACAACCCTTCTGGAACAATACAGAGTGGGAAAAGTTTGCAAAATAAGAGTCAGTTTAGGACTATTGCACCAAAAATTGTGCCCAAAGTCCTAACATCCAAAGTGCTGCCATGTCATTCACCATCACTCTCCGATCAGGGGAATCTGGGGCCTACCATCAAGCCACTGGGGATGCCTGCCCAGAACTATGCTCTGATGCAAGTTGCTGGCCAGGAGGGAACATTTTCTCTTGTTGCTTTGCCACATGTTGCCTCAACTCAATCAGTTCAGAAACCTAGAATGCCTGAAAATCTTAAACTGCCTATTCCCCGATATCAACCTCCAACAAGTAACAAAGGATCAAGAAAGAAACCCATCCTGAGCCCTCCTGAGAGTGGCTGTAGCAAATCTCCTGCCCAAACCCAGATGTGTCCTCAGATGTCTCCTCCTACATCTGCCCAGCCTGAACTTCCACATAAACCCAGTCCATGTAAGCAGCTGCCATCACTAGACAAAGCCCCAGCCAGCATCAGCACAGCTATACTGACAAGTGGCAGTGGCCATGGAGACTCGAGATCTCTAGTGACCAACAACCGTGGAGATGTGACCCCTCCTGCCACCCCAATATTCTCTACATCAGGGGAGCCCTCAGCCAAGCAGAGTTTCCCAAAGATTTCAGAGAGAGTAAACTTTACAAGCAAGAAAATACCCAGTAAACCTTCTCCTATTGCCAGTGAAAAACTTAAAGAACAAGTTGATCATGCAAAAGCTATAACCAGTTTATCACCAGCCATTTTAGGCAGTACAGTTCAATTGATCTCTTCAGTCCCCAGGGGTAAGCTGCCAATCTTACCCTACTCTAGAATGAAAACAGCAGAGGTTTGCAAAATTGAATCTGATGCCAATACTGCAGATTTTTCTTTACCTGGGCATGGGACAGACTGTGATAAGAGATTCTCCACCACAGAAGGCTTTAATAATGCAGCCACCAAAATGGCCAGTAAGACACCTGTTCCACAGGTGTCAAAGCAGAATCTTTGTGAAAGTGCCTTTTATCCAGTTACCAAACTAGATCTCAACCACAAAACAAAATTGAATGGTGGGGCAGCAAAGAGAAGAGGAAGAAAACGAAAGATACCAGATGAAATTTTGACATTTCAAGGAAAAAAGAGGAAATGCATTCTTAATAAATGTAGAGATAGTAAAGAGAGAGCAAAAACTGATCCCCAAGAATCCAGAGACCAAAAACCCGGGGTCCTGAAAAAATATCGTAACATTATGCCTAAACCTGTAATTGTTGTGTCTGCTTTGGCTCCCCTACCTTCTCCTGCAGCTGTGCTACCATCCCAAACGCCCAGCAGCCTGGGACACGACACTTTGTTAAATAATTCTAAATATCTCAGCTGTAAGCAGAATGACAACCCTTCCTCTAAGCCCAGCTCTGTATTCAGAAATGGATTCTCTGGCATTAAGAAACCTTGGCACAGATGTCACGTTTGTAACCACCACTTTCAGTTCAAACAGCACCTTCGAGACCACATGAATACACACACCAACAAACGGCCATACAGTTGTCGGATTTGTCGCAAGGCCTATGTACGTTCTGGCAGCCTAAGCACACACATGAGACTTCATCACAGTGAAAACCGTCTGAAGAAACTTGTGTGTTGTGAGTTTTGTGCAAAAGTGTTTGGTCACATCCGAGTCTATTTTGGCCATCTGAAAGAAGTGCATAGGGTTGTGATCAGCACTGAGCCCTCCCCCAGTGAACCACAGCCAGGGGCCATGCCAAAGAACAGAGACAGAGATACTAGTATGCAAGCGATGGAGGGACCCCTGGAGAGGTGAGTGCCAATGGAGTAGAAGTATGGCACAAAAGCCTGTTTTGATTTGGGGAAGAGGGGAAGATTTCATATTCAAAAAAGACTTTATAAAAACATCTCTCAGATGAAGATTTCATAAGGTAGTGTTCCCCCTAGTTCAGTAAAGAATGATCGTATTTCTCTTTGGTGTCTGGTCAGTCATAATTTTTAATTACTCTAACCTGTGTATGCCAAGGCAGAAATGCTAGTTTGAGGTGTGCTCAGGACAATTGGGCTTCAGAAAGTTATTCTTGCATCTGAAAATGAAGTAGTAAATTATCATATATAGTTCCTGATAGTCTTTACAAATAATCTTCCTCAAATTTATGTGCATAGGATTTCTATCTAAACAGCAGTATCTGCCTATAACACAGGGTGACTCTTGATGGGGTCTCCAGGGGTCTGCTGTATCAGCCACACCCTAAGGTACCCAGACCTAACATGACCCATTTTTCCCATCAGGCCAGATTAATCTGTCATTCCTTTTTACAAGTACTGCTTCCTCACATTATAAACAAATAAGCTATGTAGTTTGGAAGCCTGGCAGGCAGACCTTAGAGCAGTAATGAACCAGGCAAATGCTCTCAGTGAAGGCTGTGTGTATCCTCTTTCCACCAAGGTGACAAATAGTTTCACTAGAATTAATTCTTAGCAGCATCATGAAAAGAAAACTTTTTCCAGCACTTTCAATTCTCTGTCTCTTGTTTTTCATTGTTTCATTTGCTCAACATATTTTCTATTTAATTTTGGCTTACTCTGTCATATTCAATAAATAAGGGGTGCCTATTCTACTACTTCCTTGCCTGTGTATAGTTTCTCTTCTGCTCTCATGCTTTTCACTAGTGTACAAAGAAACCAACCTTCTTGTTTTCCTGTTGTCAGATTTTGATGTTTGAGTAAAATGTCCAAACTGCCTTTTGTGCTCAAGGATAGGGAGGGCAACATTGAGTGGTGGGGCACAGTTACCTTCAGTTGCAGCAAGTAACTCTGCAGCACCTGACTTGACACTCCCTGATTATTCCGTGTTGAGTACCCCTGTTCCTGTGGGAAGCAAAGAAGAGGGGCTTGCCTAAGAGAAGCAGAAAAGCATAGTCACTTCCTAAATGAACCCAGGTGTCCTGAGAAACAATGTGTGACAGTTAGCTTTCACTGTGCCCTCTGCTAGAGTCCCTTCCCAGGCTCTGGCTTTCTTGGTTCTTTGTGTTTACCCCATTCTTTGTACTTCTCATTGTAGGTGTGTTTTAGATCCCTAAGGGCTTAGAACTGAAAGGAAAAATTCTAATTGTGTTTTTCCATGAAATCTTATATAGACTTTTTCCCCGTTTCAGGGAAAACAAGTCAAGCTTGGAAGAAGACTTACTTCTAAACCAGGCAGATGAAGTCAAATTACAAATCAAATGTGGCCGTTGTCAGATCACTGCTCAGTCTTTTGCTGAAATAAAGTTCCATCTGCTTTATGTTCATGGAGAGGAAATTCAGGGCAGGCTGCAAGAGGGAATCTTACCAGGCACCAAAGGAGCTCAGGAGGCTCTGGTTAAACATGCTGCTCCTGACTGGAAACAGCATCCTGAGAGAAGAAGGCAGGTAAAGGCTTGTTCTTCTGAGGAGGAGTTCCGCGCATTTCCTAAATTGAAAAGGCCACTCTATCTTCACCACCAAAATGGTGTGGAAATACTCA